TTTGTTGTGTAGCAATGTCATAATCTAATAGCCTAGCAACGAGCTAATCACTATTATTTGGTGATAATGATTGTAGAAAGCTCCGCGAGCCTTGCGTACTCTCAAACATATCAAGAATGGCGGAAAGACGATCAACTATATGTCGATTGAAGATGCCATCAAACTGATTCCAAGTGGTAAGATAAATGTTTAGTCTTTGCCAAATGAATAGATGCGGACCAGATGAACGCTTGATACCGAGCTTAAATCAACTACGCACTTGTAGATATTAATTCTTGCAATGAGAAAACCTAGACAGCATTTAAAAATTTTTCAGGAAGCACAATCTACCCAGCAAACTTTGCTGGAACGCCAGCTGAGCTGCTCAAGGAGGTATGCAGACAGGTTGAATCGGGCAGACTCAACAAAGTGCACTTCTTGAGCGTTATGATCGAAGGTGGAGCACCATGGGACGATCCAAAATTCTACGGTATCGCGTTCTTTCATTAACAGTTTTTGGGGAAAAAAAAGTGGACTGAATTTGTTATTTGCCTACCGTCTCAAGGCAATTACCATTCGATTGGTTTTCCGCTGGTTGTATTCTCATGAAACTGATCAAATAATGAGAGAGTCGTGTCATCGAGATCATGCCCTCTCTACTATCGCATGTCCGAAAACTCATCAACAATTACCTATAGACACTAAGTTATAGCAAAAAGTCGACAGAAACTGATTACCAAAGGACAAAAGTTTCATTGGATACATTTTGAATGAGTTTCTGGAAAGCACTCACTTTATCCATGAAGTTGCATTATGTGCAAAGTTTGATGTTGATACTTACAGACAAAATCACATCCAACACCATGTTCGCTACTGGCAGCAATCGCAAACTTATCCAATCAGGTTCGCATCCATCTCATAACTTCATCTCCAACCGACATTTTAGTCTTGAACGGACACTACTTTAGCTTCCAGTGACATTTTGCAGTTTATGTGCTATACCTATAATCAATCGCTTTGAAAATACCTGTGAAACAAGGAAGAGAGATAATAGTAGTGGTTGTTTTGAAGAAGTTATTCATTCGGTACGAATACTTCTATGCAGTGAAGATTTATTTCGAACCATGATTGCTTATGAGTGTTTCAGGACATGGCGATTACACACCAATGTTGTTGTCAGAAATAGCGAAGTATTATCGTGACTTCAGAGTGGATCTTGATGTTGCAATGGCAACCATTTCTCCACCAGACGAACACGGAAACTGCTCACTCGGTATTGCTGGCGACTGCTCTGTTGAAGCGATGAGGAATGCCAAGATTATCATTGGTATGTTCGAGAACAATTCATCGAACAGCAGCCACGTACCGTCCTCAGTTTTCGCACAGCATACGCGAACATTTGATCCGAATTTTGATCAATCAAATTCAAATTCCACGAAAACAGATAACAATCTATTCATGCTGAAAACATCGCTATGATCAACAAAATATAGATATACTCCTTGATGCTGTTGTAGTATCTTGAAATGATACCTCATTAAGTGTTTCGAGTGCCACGCAAAATCAATCAGACGGGAACACCTCTTGATTATTATGTTTCCACAAAAAAGTACCCCAAAAAATACCACATCATATTTTGCATTGGTCGGTATTGAAGGTGAGGAAATTCCAACGATGCCACGTACGTTTGGTGATACGCAAGTGCACGCCTCACAATTTGACGCTATCGTGAAGACGAATCGACCAATGTTCGCCGCACCTGACCCAAAACCAGGCGCTACTCCTGATCCAGATGCCGCTAAGATCGGAAAAATGATTGCTGAAGAACTGATCGAGGATGAATCAACACTCCAGATCGGTTCGTCAGATCGGTTTTCTTCCATTATCGTTTCGAGATGAGAAGCGAAACACTAAACACCAACCAACATATACACATAGACACATTCTTTATTCAGGAATCGGAGCTATCACGGATGCAGCTTGTGGATTCTTGAAGAACCACAAAAATCTTGGTATTCACACTGAGCTGCTTTCTGATGGTATGGTGGAGCTAATGAAACAAGGCGTTATCACGAACGCATGCAAAACAGTTGATCCAGGATTGTCGGTGACGTCGCTTGCATACGGTACGAATGCCTTCTACAAATACATCAACAACAACCCGGTGTTCCGTATGTTGCTAACATTTATTGTGTTCTTTCATTATTCATACATGCCCTCGTATGCGACTGCTATTTTACATATGAACTACTCTACCAGGTTCCCCGAAGAGCTCATCCTGATTGAATGACCGTTACGGAATCGTTTTTGGCTTGGAATTATGTGAACTGAGTATTGATCACATCAAGTTCTTATGAGTATTCACCCTCTAGACATTACAGCTGCCAAATGCAGTGATCATATGACAGATCATATGAGCAAAATCGAAAGCATCCACGTTTACATTCCAGTCTAGAGCTGTTTTTGTTTGTTTAGGATTCCGCTCGGCTGCATACACGAACGACCCAGCCGTCATCCAGAAGAACCACAAAATGGTCTCAATCAACGCTTGCATTGAGATCGATCTGACCGGACAGGTTGCATCGGATTCAATCGGAACAAGAATTTACTCCGGTATGGAGCCGCCCATCGATGCGTCTTCTTTCAACCTTTACTCTTACTTCAACGAATTAAATTCATTCTGCTGCTCCAAAAAACTATTTCAGAAACTAAATCGAAATGCAACCGATTGTTTATCAGAATTGGTGAAATATTTATTTTAGGTATCGGCGGTCAGCTTGACTACGTCTACGGAGCAAGTTCAGCACCAGGAGGTAAGGCCATTATGGCACTTGAATCAACCACAGGAAAAGGAGCCACCAAAATTGTTCCATTCTTGAATAAGGTAATTATTTCAAATCGATTTACATTCAATTGTACATTCAATTAGAGTGATAACTCATTTGATCATGACTTGATGAACAACGAATCGAGCGAATCGTTGACGACATCTTTCGATTCAGTAAATCCACTTAAACTGAAGAGACATATTTAAGGGTGCTGGTGTGGTAGCAACCCGAGGTAACATTCAATATGTTGTCACTGAGTATGGCATAGCTGATCTCTGGGGCAAGAGCTTGAGACAGCGCGCTTATCAACTCATCAACCTGGCACATCCCAACCACAGAGAATCGCTCGAGAAGAGTGCCTTTGAAATGCTCAAGTGTATGCCATCACCGTAATTAATTGTTTTCTGTTATAGTGTCGATAAACGCAATCACCTTATGGGTATTTGAATAAAAAATGCAAAATTCCTCAATGAAGCGTCTCACAAATATTCACCGTACTATTTCTTATTATATATTATATGCATATTATATTATATTCACGAATGGGTTACCATTCATTTATATTTATAATGTAACCTATTCGAACATGGTTTCAATCTTAGCCAAACATGTAAATTCAATTCTCAGTCCCGTTGATTAGCCTCATTTGCCTGAGTAACTAGTACCTAAAGTGAAATGAGTTATGGAAGGTAATTCACAGCCATAAATTTCTTCGAAAGGGCAGCGGATCAGTGCTTCTGTAATTCCATTAGGAACAGTTAAGAACAGTCATGAGTATGCGGAAGTTTACGAACTTTTCATTTCATTTCCATCCTCATCGCAGAACATAGAGACGGCTGTCAGCCAAAAAAGAAAACAGCACTGAAAGCACGCGAACAATTGACTGTTTTGTTGTTTCGTTTGCCTCACTTCGAGCGTTTTACAAACGATTTTTTTTCACAACATTCGGTTAGCAGCAATTCGAAGACAATGCAATATTTGACGCCCACATGATTGGGCAGTTGTTATTCGTTTTTGAGATCGAGCTCGAAAGTCGAACGCTCACGATTCCAGCAATATCTCATTACTTGTGGATGGATACTTCCATTGCTATGGTGCAAGTGAACTTCGTTGAATGAAACAACTGCTCAAATTTTGCGTTGCAAGATCAACTAGCAATCTAGTGGTGATTTTCAGCAACCATGCCGTAAATGTACTCCAGAGCTGCAGATCTAAATCTTCAAGAGCTGCAGCTTCAGCGATCGGTTATCAACATTCTCCACCCATTTCTCTATTCACAAAGACCGAGCGGTGCGGAATTTCATTCCAATTTTAAGGCCCTCGTGAGAACGCGAAACTCATAGACCTTTATGCTAGATAGGGTACTGATACAACGAAAACACCCGATGTAATCTGTGCATGCATGTTATTTCTAAATAATGTTCCGTGTCATGCAATAATAACAGTAACACGAGCATGCATGTTTTATCCAGCAAGTTTGAATAACCGACATGTTTTTACTGAAATAGCAGTGTACATGTTGAAGCTGAATTATATCATCAAGAAACGGCTATTACACTGATCATGATGTAGAACAATCTTGACCGTCGATGATCAACGGCCAACACACAAGAATATTATTCAGTCTTCGAAAAAAAAGCAAATCGTTCCAACGAACTGCATGGATGGATTTCTTGGCAGATGTGATCCATGACTTATTGATATTGCATAATATTTCAGATTTGTTAACTCAAAGAGTTAAAGAAGCCTTAACTGTTTGATAAATGTGTTCAAAAAAAAAAAAGATTCAATTGAGTGCGTATTTCGACACGAGAAAAATTCTGTTATGCAAGAGAACTTTCCTTTTGCAGCTTGTTTACTCTCGTGAAGATTCAGTTTTTA